TACCAACTCAAATTTCTTCCATTTCCAAGCTTCCCTGTCTGTTCACAAACCATCCAAGTGCAAATATATCTACAAGATTCGATTCCACATGATGAGTTTAACAAGGTCATGTATATGATGAGTTTGACAAAGCCAATGTCAGCATATCTAGAACTGTACACAAATATAACAGCAAGCGAATAAAAATCAAATTCTGGAAACTCAATTGACTAGGAAACAACGTTTCAAAATTAGTATTGACCGATTATACTTTGCACTGCAAAATAAAGCAGATAATCCTTGAAATTCAGAACTATTGGCATTTGATAATCCTGAAATCCATACTCATATCCTACTCAAAACTTGGTCTTGAGAACAGAGTGTTGCAGAGCTTTAAGAATGCAAGAGCAATGATTGGAGAAGAGAAGTTGATAAGCCAATGAAAGGCCATCTTCCTATAATGAACTTATTATGTTTCTCGGAAGTTTTGGGGCACACCATTTTAGACACAAATCCACCTCTGCTCTCAAAAAGTTTTTCGCCAAGTGCTATTCCTTTGACAGCAAATGTTTATGAACGTTATTTTCACCATTGAGTGAATGAGATTAGCTAAGAATAAGTAATTGATGAGATTATCTAATTTCAAATATACATGAGGATTATTATCTTCATATGATACACAGACACACCACAATCATGGACTACAGGATCTATGCAGCATTGGCTTTCAAGTAATTCATTGGCAGAGGCTTTAATTGCTGATGTCTAACTGATCAGTCGTTACTTTGGAGACATGATTAATATACTACAATGTTATAGAAAAAATACGCTGTCAACCATTTTCACTCAAAGACTAAGTGTATAGCCTTGATATCAATTGTTTGAAAAGTATGTCTCGCAAAAAGACCCTCCCCTCTTACCCATCAAGGTGACTTAAAGAATTGTAGAAAAATAATCCAAAAAGTGCAAATGCTAGGAAACCCACTGTCCGAAAAGTAGAGTAATTATAGAAGCACATTCGGGAAAGATAAAAGTTAAAAACATTGCAAAAATTAAGTCTGACCTTATGTCTCCTTCACTGAAGGCTCCCCGCATGCCATAAACAGATTCAAAATCCATACCCGGAGTCTCCAGAAACATTGGTTTCATCATAGCAAGAGAAAAGTAAGATTTCCCACATGTATCAGCTACCAGCACCCAAAAATTGCTGCACTCCCCAGGTAGTTTGACCAAACAGAGTATAAGAATAGTCCCATAAATCAAGCATTACACCTGAAGTGTATTGATACACAAAATAACTAAATATAAAATCAAACTGGACCTTATTTTCTTTGAATCAAGAAACCCGCTTTAATCAAGTTTAATAGTAAATGAACTTACTCAGAGCTTTAATCAAGTTTAGCAGTAATGCTCATTGCTGATTCAGCACTGCTAGGGCTGCCGTAACAAATAAATCAAAAGCACCTGATTGTTTGGAAATGCTCTAGGATGATCATTTTCAGAAACATGTTGATCTCCCAATGTTCCCAGGCTTGGATCAAAACTGAGCATATGGACCTTAGCAAAAAGCAAGAAAAAAACCTAAATATTAAAAACAAACTTGACCTTATTGTCTTTGATCAAGAAACCCAAAAGCTTGCTGGCAACTGGATCAGATTTCACTTTCCAGATTGCAATTATTGTAATTCATTCTGATTTAGCATGGAGGGACCAACCACAACAATCAGGTCAAATCATGAAAAACCAAAGACATGCAAGAGAGTGAAATTCCTGGAAGTTAAGCCCAAAGAAAGGAAAAAAACTCAACCCAAAATCTAACAAACCCACCTCAATGTAGGATGCAGCAGCGGCAGAGTGCTTCTCATTTGTTCTAGCAATAAATATATCCAAAAAGACTGATCACCATTCAAATAAAAAGCCACCGGGTGCATCAATAGTTGGAGGACATGCAAACAGAAAACACAACATCAATTAAGTTGCAAAAAGATGAATGACATATGAATTGATAAAAATCTATCCTCCTTTGCATTTCTTTTCAGTAATCATTTTTTTCTATGAAAATTATTCTTGTGAACAAGATAAGAAATGTAAACTCATGTATTACTCAAAACTCACTTTCTTTTCTCTTTTCCCTCCGCAGAACAGTTCTCCGTCCCTTTTTTTTTTTTTTCCCGAATCGTCTCACATCTTGATCTTAGTAATGGGCTTCCGGGTTTAAAGCCTGTAAGTTTTTGGGTCAAAGACAGGTGAGTTTGTTTGAGCGGACAGTACCATTGGGGTGTGTTACGGAATTCAGAGTTAAGACTACCTAGGAATTAAGAATTAAGACAACCTAGGGTACGATTAATTTATACCTATAATATATGACTTTAATTTTTTATTATTTATTTATTTATTTTGATTCAATAAGACTACTTGATTACTAGGTTGTGTGAGAAAGTTAAATAAAGAAATCATAAAATCCAATAAATTTAAGTATAATGCAATTATAATTAATCATATTAAATAATACATTAATGTATTATAACTTTAAAAAATGAAGTTATATCAAGTAAGACATCACAAATGATGTTTGGTTACTTATATATATAAATTCAATTTCAATTTCAGATTAATACCTAATAAAAACATATTTTCATGAAAATATTCCCTTTAACTGTAACAATAAGAAATAAGATGATTAATACTATTAAAATGTACAAGAAAATGAGAAAGTACCACATAAACCTGACAAAGCTTCTGATGCAAGCAATAATGTTAGACATATAAAGAAATCTTACAAAGATTGATGTGCAAAGTGATGTGACAGAAAATGATTGGAAGAGTAAATACAAAAAATTATACTTATTATATTTACTCTTTCATTTATTTTCTGTCCATCAGTTTATATAAAAAATTTTGTTAGATTTCGTTGTTCACAGCCAATCGTGCGCTGTTTTGACGGTTTTTTACTACTAGCTAGCGATGGTGGCTGGCAGTCAGCTGTCCTTTTGGGTGATTGAAATGTTTTTGAGTTTATTTAAGGTGGAATAGTCACTCTGCCTAAAGGATTAATCTTTTGGGTTTCTGAGTAGCAACATTTTTCTTCTCTCATTTTTTTTTTTCTAAGCACTAAGAGTTGTTGCAATATTTGAACACGATTAGATGAACAAACTTTTTAGAATGTCGCGGTATAGTCAAACTATTTACAAGGAAACAAAGTTGAAACAGAAGAAAAAAGAAATTGCAGAAAATTGTTGTGAGAGATGAGAAGTAAAGATGAAATTAATGTCCATCTAAATTAAAAGAGAAGGAAAGCCTTAGTCATGCATTAGTGCGGTGTATAGTGAACTCCATCAAGTTTTGGTAACTAGAGTCTTGGTCATGCATTAGCGAGGACTAGAACACTGTAGCCCAAAGCCAAGCAAGAAGAAGAAGGCAAGCCATTGAAGAGCTTGCACAAAGCACAAACCTATTTTGCTCCTTACCCATTATTGATTAATGTAAAACCAATCCAAATGAATCACTTTGGTAGCCATTATTAAGCAAGATTAAATTGATTAGCTCTTGTTTGCATTGAACATTCTGTAAATTATTCTTTTAATTCATTCAAGATTTTGATATGGACAACCCAACTGCATTGATGAAGTCATTTTCTGGTGAGTTTTCATGAGAAATTATTTATATGAATTTTTTGTTTCTTAATTGCTTAACTATTCAATTCAACTTATTCAGCAGCCTTCTTCTACTGCTTCTTCTGCCTTCTGGTAGGCTTGTTATAAGCTTCTTCTATTTGGACTTTTTTTTGTCCATGACCTTATTATTTTAAGATCTTGGTTGTTTAAGGAGTCAAAACACAGCTTTCATTTCTGTAGAGATAGTAGTTGATTTTTGGCTTTTACACAGTAAGAAGCAATACTTGATTTCAGGACCCAATCAATGATACTTTTTGTAAAATGAAATAAATAAATTGAATTCTATATTTTTAAGGATTTGAACCCCTAATTTATGACATATTTTAAAATTTCTCATTAATTTTTTAATTATAATTTTATTTTCAATGATATTTTTTAATAGGTTATCCATCAACACCAACTTCTCAAGGGTTAATCTAGTCTTGGACCTAGACTTGCAGCCCATTAGTGAGTGCAAACCAATATAAAATCCCCATTGAGCCCAATTCAAATGTTTTGGGCTCACATGAGAAAGATCTATAAAAGACAATTGTTTCTTAAACTGGAGAAGTGCAGAACTTTGGTCTTGAGAACAGAGCGTTGCAGAGCCTTGAGAATGAAAGAGCAATAATTGAAGGAAGAGAAGTTGATAAGCCACGGAAAGAAAGCCCATCTTCTTTGCTTGTGAAACCTAAAGAACCGATACGGTTATAAGTAGACGAAACAAAGTTGAAACAGAAGAAACTGCATAAAATTGCTGTGAGAGATGAGAAGTAAAGATGAAATTAATGTCTATCTAAAAGAAAAGAAAAGGAAAGTCTTGATCATGCATTAGTGAGGTGTATATGGTGAACTCCATCAAGTTTTGTTCACCAAAGTATTGGTCATGCACTAGCGAGGACTAGTGCATCAACTTAGTCTTGGCCATCCACTGGTAATAGAAAATCAAATTATTAGAAGATTTCGGTGTCTAACATATAATAATAACTTATTATGTTTCTTGGTAAAAGGTAGTTAGTTTATGGGAGAGTTATGGGGTACACCCAGTGAAGTAGTATGCTTTTCGCACCAAGTGCTCTTCCAATGACAGCAAAATTTTTATGAATATAACTTTTGAAGATAATGAGTTGAACATAAACTCATTAACAAGTATGTAAACCATGTTATTTTTCACCATTAACAGCTCTGATATTTTATTTAAGGAAGTAGTAAAACATAACAATTGAATGCTTGCACTGAAAGACAACATAAGATTAAAAACAGGAAAACAAACACGTTACTACATACTATCAGCAAGAAAATAAAGGAACATTGGTTTTCCAGTTTGCAGTAATACTCAGCCAACAGAACTTCTTGGATGCACTAACTTCAACTTCCTCCACGTTTGTTCTTCAGCCTTCTCCCCTTTCTTGGGTGTCCTCCTTCAACCATCCTTATAACCCACTGAGGCTTTCCTGTTGAGAACACAAGATATCCCATCGTCACCCCTAATACCATTCCACATCCATACCCCATCAATACCACTTTCCAACCGAATCCACTTGAGGACTCTGCATCATCTTCTAATGTTGATGGTGGTTGCGGTTTCCCATCATCAGTGCCACATTTCTGTGACAAAGGAAATCCACATAATGCCAAATTCCCATCATATGAATTATTTGAGAAGGTATCAAAGTGGTTAGCTCGAGGTACAGGTCCGCTGAGTCGGTTTTGAGATAAGTTTAGCCATCCAAGAAAATTTATATTTGCCAACTGCCATGGAATTTTCCCAGTAAGCTTGTTGGAAGAGAGGTCTAACGATTCAAGGGCAGCTAAATTTCCAAAAGATGATGGAATACAACCTGATAGATTGTTATGAGAAAGATTGAGAAGATGAAGTGCATGAAGGTTTCCAATCACTCCTGGAATCTCTCCATGGAAGTAATTGTTTGAAAAATCAATGGTGGTGCAAGTAGTAATAATTCTCTCTAGTTGAATTTCATGCCCTTTCCATGTCAAGATAACAGAATCTTGATAATAATCTTCACCCATATATTTCAATTCCCTTTCATCTTCACCGACATCCATCATGGCTTCAAGGTTTTTGAAATACATAGTAGGCAAAAAATTGTTGAAGCTGTTGTTTGAGAGATCAAAGATTCTCAACTTTGGAAAACACTTGTTTGTCTTGGAACAATCCCGTATAGAACCATAAAACTTATTGGAACGAAGAACCAAAACTCGTAGCTCTGGAAGATTTCCCAACCAATATGGGAATGTATCATTTATCTTGTTGTTTCCAAGATCTAGAACTTCGAGATTTGAACAGTTGAGCAAAGATCGTGGAACTGGTCCTTCCAACCCATTGTCGTTCAAGTTAAGGGTCCTGTAAACATTTCCCTTGGCAAATGTTCCAGGAATGGAGCCATAAAAGCTATTCTTCCGCAAATCCAACACATGAAGACTGCTAAAATTTCCCATACACTCTGGAATTATACCACTTAACCTATTATTTGAAAGATCTAAAATTTCTACATAGCTCATATTACAGATCAAGTGAGGTATCTCCCCAGTCAATTCGTTCTTTGACAACAAAAATAATCCCAAGTAGGGTGGTGGAATTGGAATTGGTCCCTGGAGCAAGTTGGAATGAAGGTCTAGATATCTCAAATTTTTCCATGGAAGCTGCTCCATGCTTGTCAGGTAGTTGTGGGAAAGATTTAACCAGCGCAAACTATCCTGACTAGTGTTCCACATCCAGTTGGGAACTTGACCATGGATGTTATTTTCAGAAAGATCTAGCTCAACTAAGTGGTCTAGACTTCTTAAGATGCCTGGGAATTCACTTATGTTACAAGAGGATAATCGCAAAGAAGCAAGTTGCGAGAAGGATGAATTGGCTATGAATTTGGTGCTAACAGATAAACTGTTATGAGAAAGATCAAGGATTTTAAGATTTTTGAGCTTTGAAAACATGTGAAGCTCTACAATTCCACTCAAATTGTTTGAAGAAAGAGAGAGATAAAATAGATCAAGTTCAAAGATTGAACTTGGAATTGAGCCATGCAGTCTATTATCATCTATTGAAATCCATTGCAATGAATTACTCTGAAATTGATCAGTATGGCCAATTAATTGGTTATATCCAAGATCCATCATCTTCAAAAAAGGATGAGTAAATAACCAAGATGGTATTGTTCCATTGAGAGAGTTATCGGATGATGAAATGACAACCAAATTTCGAAGTCCGACTACATGAGAAGGAATTTGACCAGATAATTGATTCCCTGAGAGGTCTAAATGGGAAAGTTGGCTAAAGTTGACGAAAATATCTGGAAACTCACCAACAAAGTTATTCATTGAAAGATCAAAACGACGGAGCTGGACAAGATTTGACAGAAATGATGGGATATGACCACTGAAATTGTTACTTGAGAGACTCAAGTAAGTAAGTTGTGTAAGGTTGCCAAGCGACATAGGAATTGACCCCACTATATTGCAGTAAAAGAGACGCAAATGGTATAAAGACATGAGATCGCCGATTGAGTTAGGTAATTCCCCAGTCAAACTCATATCAGAAACGTCCATAAACTTAAGGGGGCTACTCCAGTTAACCTTAGGAAAAACACCTGTCAAGTTGAGGTTACCTCTTAAACTAAGGAACTGCAGATTTGGTGAGCGAAAGATGTGATCTGGGATGTTCGCCTGTAATCCACAATAATTAAGGCTCAGAGAAGTCAGAGAATAAGACAGATTGGTCAAGAAACTAGGTACTATTGTAGACATATCCACATAATCGAGAAGAAGTTCCGTTAGTTTAGTAAGATTTTCAACTAACCCTTGAAAAATAGCTGTTTCAAGTCTCATGAGGGAATTTCCTTCAAATAAAGAGAGGTCAAGAGAAACCAAATTAGACAAGTGGGAGATCTCAGTTGGAATTTTACCACTAAAGTTTGAATTGGAGAGGTTGAGGTGCGTCAAACTAGGTAATTGACTGAAATCAGAAGAAACTTGAGAGAGATTGAAATCATTGAAAGCAAGGTTGAGCCTTTGCAAATGATTAAGGAGAAAGAGGCTACTGTTGGAAGGAATATTGCCATGAAGCCACCCACAACTAAGGTCAAGGGCAATTACATGACCAGTTAAAATGTCACAAGTGACACCATCCCAGGAGCAGCAATCAGTATCCTCTTTCCAAGACACTGTTTTTTGATAAGAAGGACATCTTCCATCACAATAAGGTGGGTTCTCATCTCCCAGAAAGGATAAATCTCTTACAACATCACAATCGAAGTAAGAAAGAAAATTCTTGTAAGAAAAGTGTTGCTTAAATTGGAGCAATGCAATACTCTGATAATAAGAGCAGAGTGCTGCGGAAGTTTGAGAATATAAGAGCAATAACTGGAGGAAGAGAAGCTGATAAGCCAATGTTAGGCAACCCATCTTCTTTGCTTGTGAAATCTCAAGAACTGATACTGCTATAAATAGAAGAGAAATGGAGGGTCTGTACATAATAGATTAGATTGACAAATAATAAATAGAGAAAGAAAACAAAAATGTCACCAGTTCCACTTCGACTTTACATATATCATCTATTCTTTCTTCATTCTCTGCTGGAGTCATCGACAATTATGGTTTACATATCTTGAGAATGATAACTTGTTCTTTAGCTCTTGCAGTGTGGAATGGGCTACAAGACTTTGAACAGTACAAGTCGCATGCTGAAGCAAAAGTGGAAATGATCACATATGTTATGAAAGAGAATATAGATGATTTTAAGATGATAAGGTTGACATATGTATGGGTAATGTTATTGCTTGAAATGTAGTACAAATAAATCTTTTTTTGTATTTCCCCTGTTTTTATCTATTTTTTGAGTTAAAGGTTACATTTCTATGACTGCAAATGTTTATGAACCTAAAATTTTGAAGGTAAACAGTTGAACATTATCTCATTATTAACATCTGATTCAAAGCTAGGTTAATTTTAATGATTGTGTGGAATGCGGACAAAAATTGGAGGAAGAGAAGTTGATAACACCAAGTTAGACAACCCATCTTTCTTTAATTCACTGCTTTAAGTCTTGGTCAACTGTTGATGTCTTATAGATCACAAATGTCATTTTCCAAGTGGTGCCAAAGAAATTAATTCTGGAATCTTATTATTGATTGGGAGGCTAATGGAGACATGTTATGCAGGAATTAATGCTGTTTAATAGTCTTTGTTTTTATTTATATTTTTGGTTCTTAAGCTCATGCAGTGGGGAACGGGTTACACGACTTCTCCAATAATTTAAATATAAGTCTTTGTCTACTAACTAGAAACAATAATGTTTTATTAAGAAATTCAACTTTGTAATGCTTCAAGTCATTTTCTTAGTTGTAATTTTCTTATTTCTATTGTATGGTTACTAGTAAATCACACGCGGAAGCAAAAGTCTAAGTGATCAAAGCTGTTGTGAAAGAGAAAATAGATGAATAGATGATAGGTAAATTTGTGGTTATTGTTACACCATTTCATGATGTTCATTTCTGTGGATTAATTCACTGTCGTGTATGAATCTACATAAATCACTTATTAATTATGTGTTGTGCCAACTGCCAAAGAGAATACTATGCTTTAGGCAGACAGACCCTTTTTTTATGGTGACTACAGATGTTTGACATGGATATTATTAATTGTGCAGGTGATAAGATGAATAAGTACAACCTTAATTTGGTCATCAAACAAAATTGTAGTAATTTAATTATGGATAATTAAGCTTACTTGAAGAAGAAGAAGAAGAAAGTTTGAGCAGGATGGTGATAATCCGATAGATGTTACACTTGCCGTGCAGCTTCTGGGTGCCTGAAGATTGGGGTAGAGGACTCCTCTAGTAATTTAATTAGCGTAAAGTCTTCGTCTCACTAACAATTTATTTCTTAGTTGTAATCTCTTATCTCCGGTATACGGTTTATATTTATATCATCTTGTTTATTGATTTTACTGGATTTTTCTTCTATGAATTCAAATTTTTAATATCAATATTTTAAAATAACAAATATATAAATTTAATATTTTAAGTTGTGAACAAGATAATTTATTGCTCAAACTCACTTTCTGGGTCGTAATCTCTGGTATATAATTTAAACTGGGAGGCACCAAAATTGAGTACTATGCTTTATGCATTCTAGTTTCCAAATTACAAAGAAACAGAACAGAGACTCTGCAATAGCTGAGAATTTCATGCAATTAACTTTTTCTCCAAGTGGTAACTATCATGTCCATGAGCCAGAAGGCATGAAGGTTACTTGCCATGAACTAATTCTTCTTACATCACAAACAATTGTATTTATCTTGCGCCGATGAGAATACTTGTTAAAAACCGAGTAACATCACTGCAGAGCCCATTTTCTGGCTCTTTTTCTACCAACTCACGCACCTGATACCGAATTGTTCTTAACAACAGTGTGCTATTAACAACACTAAAAAACTGTACCACAAATTGTGCTTTCCATCAAAATCTTAATTTTCTCTAAATTTGAATCCAAAACTTCATTTCTTTTTCACATCCCGGTTCATCAATGACTTTGGCTATGGGTTCTGTTGTTAAAAAAAAAAAATTGTTTTCCAGCAATCTTGAAATGTGAAACCTGGATAGCGATGAATTATGGACGAAACCGTAATGGGAAATTAAACGATTTTTTGTGAATGAAAAACTTATGGTGGAAATGAACGTGGGCCGATTGGAAATTGATCATTCAAGTGCAAAATCCTTGAAATATGACCACTGTTTCATCATTCTCTTATATTCACATCTTTTTAGTTTATCCTCGGAGCAAAACTTGATTCATTCTATGAATTTTTGGACGACATTCAAGAGACTCATAATTCAATCTCTTGGCAATTAGATTGAACTGAAAGATAAATATTTGCAATTGCATTGAATATCAATTTTAAAGATTTGATCATTTTATGCAAGTATGTATTTATGAGTTTTATAAACCAAGCAAATATCCTACAAATTCAACCTAATCACATTCCTATGCTGAATGTGTCTAAGGAACTTTAGTTGTTTTCTTTTTTAGCATATGCGCCTAAACCTATCACATTCAACCTATGAGTAGCTTTAAAGCAATCACAAACATCCTAGAAATTAGTTTCATCAAAGATCCCCTTACTCAAATTGTTTCATCATCAAAACAATTGTTACCTGATGCTGCTAAAAATCATAAATTAGAATTCAGCAATGCTGTCCAAAATCATCAAGCAAGAAATAAAGATGCATCTGGTAAACTGAGAATCTGAAATATACTACAGAACTAACATATTTCTTCCGAAAGATCAAATAGAGGACTACAGAAATAGTGAGGAATTAAACATTTCACTATCAATGCTCAGAAGTTTTTGATACAAATCACTGATTTAAGCATAGATGTAGCATGAGATTATATTCCAGGAGAAATAATATATTCGGAGGGTATTCAGAAACGACTCCAAGTATAGCATAGATCGATTTTCATTGAGAACTGTTGAAGCAATTATATCAGCATAAATTCTTTCTTAAAGACTTTCTGGCAACTTCCTACAAGAGGTCACATGAATGACAGCCTTCTGGAGGCTTAAAGTGAATTAGTGGTGAACTGACATGCAAAAAACAAGATTTTTGTAAGCAGAGGATTATTTATTATTATTATTTTTTTAAACGAGGATGTTTTTATAATCCTTTTTTAACCGATATTTTAACTCATGAGACGAGGTTGAAGAAACTTATGTGAAGACTAGAGAGCAGAGGCCAATCTCATCAGAAATTAAGAAAATCTTACACTCATGTTGAATTCGTAGTTTGTTACAATAGAGAAACAAGCAAAATATTCTTTTTCTTTGAAACTTCAGGGTTGGCCATCAGCTTGAGCACTCTCCTCCTTCGATCACATATTTCTCAACTCAAATTCTAGACAACCTAATTTTGTTTTAAACGAAGACTATTTATCTTTGTCAAATCTTGTATCAGCTTGCGAAGCTCCAGATATATTAAGTCAATATCATGAAAATAAGTAATTTCCACTTGAACGAATCCAGAAGATTCATTCCTTTTTGTCCTGTTGTTGAACTACTTATTCAGTGATCAAATACAAGCTTAGCTTACCAATTCTAGAGATAATAAAAGTACCTTCACAAATTCTTCGTCAGCCGCAAACAATTAAAACAAATTTCACGGCAGTAGAGCTAACAATGTTTCCCAATAATTTCAGAACACTGAGTAAAACTGAAGATCCATTATATTGCAAAATTTCCAAGAAATTCATATCTATTGATAATTCTTGTAAACTTTTCAAGAAATTCACAACTATAATCCTTGAAACCCATACTTATATCTATTGATAATTCTTGTTTTGCTGTTTTTATCGCTAAGTTCTCTGATTTTTTCAACACCAACTAAAGGGTCTCTTGGCACAAACATCAAACAACCACAACTGCAATTGTGATAATTAAGCTCTCTGCGGTCGTTTCTCGGAAAGCTACTTGCGTAGGCGGTGGTGGTCATGGGATCAAGGAAATTCCCAATAGAATACTCTTACTCTTTGATCGTAAATTTCCAGAAACAAACAGTATTTTTCTTCCTTTAATCCCAAATTTTCCTAACTCAAAATTTAGAAAACCTATATTTGTTTTTGTGTAATCGAGCAAATTTTAGTGCCGATTCCCCACAGACGGGCCAAATGAAGATACTGAGAACAGTGCAAAACTCTGGTCTTGAGAACAGAGTGTTGTAGAGCTTTGAGAATGCAAGAGCAATGATTCTAAGCTAGATTGACTACTATTAATATAGTTTGTTGTTCGGTTCATGCAGCGAAGAATGGGTGATAAGAGTCTTCATCAATAATTTAATAAGCACAAAGTCTTGGTCTACTAATAATTAGAAAACAATGACGTCTATATTAACTCCACTCTTATGTTCTTATTGACATTCATTAGTAGCTTCTATTGGATGACCTGATAGTAAAAGAGTAAAGGATGATCTAAATTAAGTTTACATACTCTCCCGAGTTCGAGTCCCACAGCCCCTAATAGGGATGTCCTAGAACTTGTAATCGACAGGTAGTTCCAGGATTCCAAAAGATTAGTTGAGGTAGTAATCTCAGATCTCTAGTATATATATGGTTTATATTTATATCATCTTATTTAAACAGAGCACAGTTGTAATTAAGGTGACAATTTTTTTATAATTGATACTATATATATATATATAGCAAATTCAATTACTTTGTAACTTATTTTTATAATTGTAAAGTAGTTAAGAAATCCATATATAGATACAAGAAACAGGGCAAGATTCAGGAGCTAGCTAGAGGGCATGAGTTCTGGCTATATATATGCATGGCTTGTTATCTTCTAAAAATCATTCAACTCATTCAATGGCTCATCAAATTAACATTCTAAAAATCTTATTAAACTCTGGCAATTACGTAACTCTTTATTAAATACTCATCTCATCGACATCATATATATTGAAGTCCAAGAGCAACATCATCTACTGTAGCAATTCTAACTCTGGCATATATAGGGTTTCTTCTCAATCGTGCTCTCACAGACCGTAGAATCATACATGAATATCTGAAAAGAACAAAAGGAAACTGATGAGTGATGATAGTTTTTCGAGTTTCTGGTGATCAAATAATTTTCCGAAATTGGCATTTAAAAAAAAAAAAAAAAAAAAAAACGCACACCGTTGTTTATAAAGAAGATTGGAACAGTACTCACCCCAGTTAGAGCATCATTCCCGCTTGGCCTCTTTCAAACATTCCTTTGCATCTTCTATTCAGATTTTCCAAGAATGCTTTTAATCATCCTTAGAAACCACTGTGGCTTTCCTGTAGAAAAAACAGTATATCCGATAAACAAGCCGAGCAACAGACCGCATCCATAACCCGTCATAATGACTTTCCAATTGAAACGGTTTGACTTATTGTGGTCTTCGTCATCATGGAATACCGATGATGATGGCTCTTCACATTTTTTCATCAATGGAAGTCCGCATAATCCCAAGTTGCCACCGAATGAATCATTTGAGAAGGTATTAAACTGGTTTCCTTGAGGAATAAGTCCCACAAGTTGGTTTTGTGACAGGTTTAACTTTGAAAGAAACGTCAAGCTTACCAACTGTGATGGAATATGTCCAACAAGCTTGTTTGAAGATAAGTCTAAGGATTCGAGAAGGGTCAAATTTCCTAATGATGAAGGTATAAGGCCTTTTAGACTGTTACGGGAAAGGTTCAGGAGTCGAAGTGACTGAAGCTCTCCGATTACTTTTGGAATCTCTCCGTCGAAGTAATTTTGTGAAAAATCAATGGAGGTAAATGTGGTAATTATTTTCTCTAGTATGATATCCCTGCCTTTTAGCGTCACCTCCACAGAATCTTGATAATACAACTTTTCACCCATGTAACTCAACTTCTTTATGGATTCGCCGTTAATCATCATAGCATTTAGATTTTCAAAGTACCTTGTAGGCAAAGGACCGCTAAATCTGTTGCTTGAGAGATCAAAGATTCTCAACATAGGGAAACAGCTATTATCACGATCAGAAGAATGCCATACAGAACCATAAAAGTTGTTGGAACGAAGAACAAGTACCTGCAATTTTGAAAGATTTTCCAGCCAATACGGGAAAGTATCATTTATTTTGTTGTTTCCAAGATCTAGAATTTCAAGCAGTGCACAGTTGATCAGAGAGCGTGGGACTGGTCCTTCTAATCCATTGTAATTCAAGTTAAGTGTTCTCAAATTACTGCCCTCTGTAAATGTTCCAGGAATTTTTCCATGCAATATGTTCTTCCGCAAATCCAATACATGAAGATTGATGCTAAAGTTTCCCAGACATTCTGGAATTTTGCCACTCAAATTGTTGTAAGAAAGATCAAGAACTTCAATAGTGCCGATATCGCAAATTGACCGAGGTATTTCACCTGACAGTTTATTGTTTGACATCAAAAACAGTGTCATGCCAAATGGTGGAATTGGAAGGGATCCTTCAATGAAGTTGGAATGTAGGTCAAGATATTGGAGATTCCATGGAAGCTGCCCTACACCTGGAAACTGCCCGACACCTTTCAGAGAGTTGTGGGAAAGATTTAGAAAAGTCAAGTTACCCATTCCCAATTCCCATAACCATGCGGGAATCTCACCCCGGATTTTGTTCGCAGAAAGTTCCAAACTATTCAGTTGGTTTTGACCTCTCAAGATGTATGGGAACTCTCTGATGTTGCAAAAAGATAGTCCTAACCTATAAAGTTTAGGAAAGGAAGAATTGGCTTTAAATGCGGTGCTCAATGACAGACTGTTTTGAGAAAGATCAAGAATTTGAAGGTTTTCCAGCTTTGCAAACATGTAAAGCTCTAGAACACCACTCAAATTGTTTGAAGAAAGTACAAGATCAGTCAGATTCTCAAGCTCAAAGATTGAATTTGGAATTGAACCATTCAGCCCATTATTATTTAACTGGATGACTCGCAATGAGTTCTGAAATTTTTCAATGTTACCCGTTAGCTGGTTGCAACTCAGGTCGATGTTGTTTAATAATGGAAGAGTATATAGCCCGGATGGTATTGTCCCATTGAGTAAGTTGGAACCTAAAGAGAGAGTGACCAGATTTTTGAGCCGACTTGCATGAGTAGGAATTGGACCGGATAGTCGATTCCAGGACACTTCAAATAAAGAAAGCTGGGTTAAGTTGAAAAATATATCAGGAATTTCACCAGTGAGACTGTTGTCTCTTAAAGTTAGATGACGCAGGTGCTCAAGATTGGAAAGTGAGGATGGGATAGAACCTGTGAAATAGTTATATGCTAGGTCCAAATAAGCAAGTTTGGTAAGATTACCAAGTGAAGCAGGAATCGAGCCATTGAAATGACAGTAGTAGAGATCCAAAGTGTTCAAGAACTTGAGAGAGCTGATTGCATCATCGGATAATTCTCCATCAAAGTTTGTGAAAGAGACATTCACAAAGCTGAGTGGGCTGCTCCAGTTACTCTTCGGAAAAACACCTGTCAAATTGATGTTAAATCCTAAATTGAGTTTTTGCAGGTTTGGTTGGTGGAAGATGTTGTCTGGAAAACGCCCTTTCAATAAACAAGATCCAAGACTCAAAGATGCCAAAGAAGAAGATAGATTTGACAAGGAATGAGGTGATACGGTAGACATGTCTACCTGATCAAGGATTAACTCTCTTAAGTTGGTCAAATTTTGAACTAGTCCTCTCAAGGCTGGTGTTTCAAGGATTACATAATTGTTAGAGAGGTCAAGTGAAACTAACTTAGACAAATGGGAGATTTCAGATGGAACTTGATCAAAAAAGTTTGAGGTAGAGAGGTTAAGGTGTGTTAAATTTGGGAAGCGATTAAAACTCGAAGATATCTGAGAGGAACTGAAATCATTGAAAGCGAGGTTCAGGCTTTGCAGATGAGGGAGAAGAAAAAGGCTACTGTTGGAAGGGATATTACCAAGAAGCCAGCTGCAACTAAGGTCGAGACCAATCACGTGACCAGTCACCCTATCACAAGTAACACCATCCCATGAGCAACAATCAGTATCCTCCTTCCAGGACTTTATTTTTGAAGAAGAAGGACACACTCCTTGACAAACGGGTTGGTCTGGGAAAGAATCACAATTGAAGGAAGAACCATTTGTGAAGGAAAAGAGTTGCTTAAATTGAAGCAATGCAGAAATCTGATCAGAAGAGCACAGTTCTCCATAGGCTAGTGGAAACAAGAACAATGAGAGGAAGGCACAGAAAAGTTTAAAAGACCATGTTAAGCAACTCATTATTAATCTCTGGTATGAAATAACAAGAACAAATGTCAGTATAAATAGATCAAGAGAATGAAGAATGAGTACTGTGCTAAAATCATCAATTAAATGAGGGAAAACTCTAGTAATTTACACCTAAGAAGTCTTGGTCGACGTTATAGAGTTCAAATATCATTTATCAAGTGGCTCCAGAGCAATTAAGAAGTGGGATACCATGAGCTTCTAAATCAAATTGGCATGGGGCCATAATGGAGAAAGATAAGGGAATACAGGATTGTGATGGTACGACGATAAAGATTTATGAAATATCATTTACAACTTCCTAAGGTTCAGAATTGTTTGAATTTAAAAGTGGGGTTGTGGTATTAATTATGAAACAGTTATAGATTGCTTTCAGTCTCATTCAATGAGGACTAATATTGCAATAGTATCATTGAGAATTTTCTACGATCTCATGGCAGCTCACCAAGGCTCTCTTTTGATGACAAATTACCAACATCTACATTGCCAGTCACTCATATTCTTATAAATTCTCAGTTCTACAAGGATTAATTTTCTATGGTAGTGAGTTGAACATGAACTTATTGTTAGCATCCAAACCATGCTAGTATTAACCATCAGAGTGTACGAGATTAACCAATAAAAATCTGTAATTTGAAGAAATTAGCTATTCTGACATATTATTTAAGGATGTACTACATAGTAATTGATTGCTTGCACTGATTAAACAAAAGAAATTAAAGATGAAGAAGATGAAGTGTAGACCTACATTGCATCACTAGTTTGCAACAATACTCGCCCAACAGAACTTCTTGGATCCACTAATTTCTTCTTCACCCACGTTTTTTGTAGGGTGTTCATCTTCAACCATCATTACAACCCACTAAGGCTTTCCTGTTGAGAACACAAGATAATCCCATGAATAATCCAAACACAATTCCACGTCCAAAGCCTATCAATACAACTTTCCAACCGAATCCATTTCAAGACTCTGCATCATCTTCTGATGTTGAGTGGTTGCTGGGTCTCATTATCAGTGCCTCATTTATTTGACAAAGGAAATCCACACAATGCCAAGTTCCCACTATATGACTTATTTGGGAACGTATCAAAGTGGTTGTCTTGAGGTATGGGTCCGCTAAGCTGGTTTGTTGACAAAATGAGAACTTGAAGAAAATTCAATCTTGTCAACTGCCACGGGATTTTCCCAGCAAACTTATTTGAAGAAAGGTCTGAGGACTCAAGAGCAATCAAATTTCCAAGTAACGATGGGATGCAACCTGTCAGATAGTTTTGAGAAAAAATTGAGGAGACGATGTGCATGAAACTTTCCAAATACTTCTGGAATCTGTCTACAAAAGTTGTTATTTGAAAAATCAACGATAGTAAAACTAGTGATAATGTTCACCGGTTGAAGCTCAAGCCCTTTCCATGTCACCATCACAGAATCTTGGTAATATTGTTCACCCACATAATTCAACTTACGCCACAACCCTGATTCATACAAGCCTAATGTTTTCCAACAAAGTCATTCATGAATATAGTATCAGCAAAAAAAAAAAAAAAAAAAAAAAAAAAAAAAAAAAAAAAAAATTCAAAGAAATAGAAGTTTATATCAAAATGATCTCCACTTGGCATATGGTACTAAAAAACGGATTTTAATAATAATTAAAAATTCTAAAATTCTTGAATGCGCATAGTTCCTTACCTGAAATCCTATATCAGAAACTCTGTACGGTTCAAAACCTCCCCTTCCTTCCAATCCTTGCCTCATGGAATCGCATAAAAATCCATTGAATCATAAACAGCAAAAACACATTAATCTGGGAATGGGAGTGGGAAGGGAATGGTAATGGGAATGCGAAACAGAATGGAAAGAAATGGGAATGGGAAAGGGAATAAGAAAGGCAATGGCAATGGTAAAGGAAAAGCGAAAAGCAATGGGAATGAGAAGGGCGAAGGGTAAAGTAATTGTAATGGGCATAGGAATGGCAATAGGAAAGGCTGAAAGGGAAAGGGAAGGGAATGGGAATCAGGAATGGGAACGAGAATGTGATTCGGAATGATAATGGGAATGGGAATGGGAGTTGGAATGGGACTGTGAACGGGAAAGGAAAAGGGAAACTAAAAAGGAATTGCAATGGGAATGGGAATGGGAAAGGAAATTAGAATGGATAGTGAATGGGAAAGTAAAAGGGAAAGGGAATTGTAAAGGGAATGGGAAAGGAGTTGTAATGGGAATGGGAATGGGAAACAAAATGGGAATGGGAACGGAAAACGAAATGGGAATGGGAAAGGGAATGGGCAATGGTCATGGTAATGGGAAAGGAAATGGGAAAAGCAATGGTCAATGGTAATGGGAAAGGGAAAGGAAAGGGGAATGGTAATGGGATGGGAAACGGAATGGAAAGGAAATGGGAATGGGAATGGGAATAGGAAAGGCAATGACAATGGGAATGGCAATGGGAATGGCAATGCGAAAAGCAATGGGGAAGGGAAAAGTAATTGTAATGGGAACGGGAAAGGGAAAGGGAAAGGAATGGGAACTGGAATGAGAATCAGGAATGGGTATCGGAATGAGAATCGAGAATGGGAACGGGAATGGGAACGGGTATGAGAAGGAGAATGAGAATGAGAATGGAATGGAAATAATTATAGAAAGTATAGACATTTTTGGCACTACTGTGCATCCTCGGCTGAGACAAAGGATCTATTGAAGAAAATTGGTTCAACCAAGGATCTATTGAAGAAAATTGGTTCAACCGCAAGCTGCTTTGAATTACCAACTCAAATTTCTTTCCATTTCCAAGCTTCCCTGTCTGTTCACAAAACCATCCAAGTGCAAATATATCTTACAAGATTCGATTTCACATGATGAGTTTAACAAGGTCAATGTATATGATTGAGTTTGACAAAGCCAATGATCAGCATAATTCTAGAACGTACACAAATATAACAGCAAGCGAATAAAAATCAAATTCTGGAAACTCAATTTGACTAGGAAACAACGTTTCAAAATTAGTATTGACTCGATTATACTTTGCACTGCAAAATAAAGCAGATAATCCTTGAAATTCAGAACTATTGGCATTTGATAATCCTTGAAATCCATACTCATATCCATACTCAAAACTCTGGTCTTGAGAACAGAGTGTTGCAGAGCTTTAAGAATGCAAGAGCAATGATTGGAGGAAGAGAAGTTGATAAGCCAATGAAAGAAGGCCCATCTTCCTATAATGATAACTTATTATGTTTCTCGGAGAGTTTTGGGGCACACCATTTTAGACACAAATCCACCTCTGCTCTCAAAAAGTTTTTCGCCAAGTGCTATTCCTTTGACAGCAAAATGTTTATGAACGTTATTTTTCACCATTGAGTGAATGAGATTAGCTAAGAATAAGTAATTGATGAGATTATCTAATTTCAAATATACATGAGGAGGATTATCTTCATATGATACACAGACACACCACAATCATGGACTACAGGATCTATGCAGCATTGGCTTTCAAGTAATTCATTGGCAGAGGCTTTAAATTGCTGATGTCTAACTGGATCAGTCGTTACTTTGGAGACATGATTAATATACTACAATGTTTATAGAAAAATACGCTGTCAACCATTGTTCACTCAAAGAACTAAGTGTATAGCCTTGATATCAATTGTTTGAAAAGTATGTCTCGCAAAAAGACCCTCCCCATCTTACCCATCGAAGGTGACTTAAAGAATTGTAGAAAAATAAATCCAAAAAGTGCAAATGCTTTAGGAAACCCACTGTCCGAAAATGTAGAGTAAATTATAGAAGCACATTCGGGAAAGATAAAAGGTTAAAAACATTGCAAAAATTAAGTCTGACCTTTATGTCTCCTTCACTGAATGCTCCCCGCATGCCATAAACAGATTCAAAATCCATACCCGGAGTCTCCAGAAAACTTGGTTTCATCATAGCAAGAGAAAAGTAAGATTTCCCACAATGTATCAAGCTACCAGCACCCAAAAATTGCTGCACTCCCCAAGGTAGTTTGACCAAACAGAGTATAAGAAGAGTCCCATAAATTCAAGCAGATACACCATGAAGTTATTGAATACACAAAATAAACTAAATATTAAAAATCAAACTTGACCTTATTTTCTTTGAATCAAGAAACCCAGCTTTAATCAAAGTTTAATAGTAAATGAACTTACTCAGAGCTTTAATCAAAGTTTAGCAGTAAATGAACTCATTTGCTGATTCAGCCACTGCTAGGGCTGCCGGTGCAGCCACTGCTAGGGCTGCCGTAACAAATAAATCAAAGCACCTGATTGTTTGGAAATGCTCTAGGATGATCATTTTCAGAACATGTTGATCATCCCAATGTTCCCAGGCTTGGATCAAAACTGGATCATATGGACTTAGCAAAAAGCAAGAAAAAAATAACCTAAATATAAAAATCAAACTGACCTTATGTCTTGAATCAAGAAACCCAAAAAGCTGTGCTGCAACTGGATCAGATTTCACTTTCCAGATTGCAATTATTGTAATTCATTGATTTAGCATGGAGGGACCAACCACAACAATCAGGTCAAATCATGAAAAACCAAAGACATGCAAGAGGAGTGAAATTCCTGGAAGTTAAGCCCAAAGAAAGGAAAAAAACTCAACCCAAAATCTAACAAACCCACCTCAATGTAGGATGCAGCAGCGGCAGAGTGCTTCTCATTTGTTCTAGCAAAATATATCCAAAAAGACTGATCACCATTCAAAAAAAGCCACCGGGTGCATCAATAGTGGAGGACATGCAAACAGAAAACACAACATCAATTAAGTTGCAAAAAGATGAATGACATATGAATTGATAAAAATCTATCCTCCTTTGCATTTCTTTTCAGAATCATTTTTTTCTATGAAAATTATCTTGTGAACAAGATAAGAAATGTAAACTCATGTATTACTCAAAACTCACTTTCTTTTCTCTTTTCCCTCCGCAGAACAGTTCTCCGTCCCTTTTTTTTTTTTTTTCCCGAATCGTCTCACATCTTGATCTTAATGGGCTTCCGGGTTTAAAGCCTGTAAGTTTTTGGGTCAAAGACAGGTGAGTTTGTTTGAGCGGACAGTACCATTGGGGTGTGTTACGGAATTCAGAGTTAAGACTACCTAGGAATAAGAATTAAGACAACCTAGGTACGATTAATTTATACCATATATATGACTTTATTTTTTATTATTTATTTATTTATTTTGATTCAATAAGACTACTTGATTACTAGGTTGTGTGAGAAAGTTAAATAAAGAAATCATAAAATCCAATAAATTTAAGTATAATGCAATTATAATTATCATATTAAATAACATTAATGTATATAACTTAAAAAATGAAGTTATATCAAGTAAGACATCACAAATGATGTTTGGTTACTTATATATAAAATTCAATTTCAATTTCAGATAATACCTAAAAAACATATTTTCATGAAAATATTCCCTTAACTGTAACAATAAGAAATAAGATGATTAATACTATTAAAATGTACAAGAAAATGAGAAAGTACCACATAAACCTGACAAGCTTCTGATGCAAGCAATAATGTTAGACTATAAAGAAATCTTCAAAGATTGATGTGCAAAGTGATGTGACAGAAAATGATTGGAAGAGTAAATACAAAAAATTATACTTATTATATTTACTCTTTCATTTATTTTGTCCATCAGTTTATATAAAAAATTTTGTTAGATTTCGGTTCACAGCAATCGTGCGTGTTTTGACGGTTTTTTACTACTAGCTAGCGATGGTGGCTGGCAGTCAGCTGTCCTTTTGGGTGATTGAAATGTTTTGAGTTTATTTAAGGTGGAATAGTCACTCTGCTAAGGATTAATCTTTTGGGTTTCTGAGTAGCAACATTTCTTCTCTCATTTTTTTTTTTCTAAGCACTAAGAGTTGTTGCAATATTTGAACACGATTAGAGAACAAACTTTTTAGAATGTCGCGGTATAGTCAAACTATTTACAAGGAAACAAGTTGAAACAGAAGAAAAAAGAAATGCAGAAAATTGTTGTGAGAGATGAGAAGTAAAGATGAAATTAATGTCCATCTAAATTAAAAGAGAAGGAAAGCCTTAGTCATGCATTAGTGCGGTGTATAGTGAACTCCATCAAGTTTTGGTAACTAGAGTCTTGGTCATGCATTAGCGAGGACTAGAACACTGTGCCCAAAGCCAAGCAAGAAGAAGAAGGCAAGCCATTGAAGAGCTTGCACAAAGCACAAACTATTTTGCTCCTTACCCATTATTGATTAATGTAAACCAATCCAAATGAATCACTTTGGTAGCCATTATTAAGCAAGATTAAATTGATTAGCTCTTGTTTGCATTGAACATTCTGTAAATTATTCTTTTAATTCATTCAAGATTTTGATATGGACAACCCAACTGCATTGATGAAGTCATTTTCTGGTGAGTTTTCATGAGAAATTATTTATAGAATTTTTTGTTTCTTAATTGCTAACTATTCAATTCAACTTATTCAGCAGCCTTCTTCTACTGCTTCTTCTGCCTTCTGGTAGGCTTGTTATAAGCTTCTTCTATTTGGACTTTTTTTTGTCCATGACCTTATTATTTTAAGATCTTGGTTGTTTAAGGAGTCAAAACACAGCTTTCATTTCTGTAGAGATAGTAGTTGATTTTGGCTTTTACACAGTAAGAAGCAATACTTGATTTCAGGACCCAATCAATGATACTTTTTGTAAAATGAAATAAATAAATTGAATTCTATATTTTTAAGGATTTGAACCCCTAATTTATGACATATTTAAAATTTCTCATTAATTTTTTAATTTAATTTTATTTTCAATGATTTTTAATAGGTCACCCATCAACACCAAATTCTCAGTCTTGGACCTAGACTTACAGCCATTAGTGAATGCAAACCAATATAAAATCCCCATTGAGCCAATTCAAATGCTTTGGGCTCACATGAGAAAGATCTATAAAAGACAATTGTTTCTTAAACTTTGGTCTTGAGAACAGAGTGTTGCAGAGTTTTGAGAAGCAAGAGCATAATGGAGGAAAGAGGTTGATAAACAAGGAAAGAAAGCCCATCTTCTTTGTGTGAAATCTAAAGAACTGATACGGTTATAAGTAGACGAAAATGGAGAGTCGAGGTTGGGTACAACATTTCGCGGTGTAGTCAGACTATTACAGGGAAACAAAATTGAAACTGCATAAAATTGTGTAAGAGATGAAATTAAGTCTTCTATAAAAAAAGAGTAGGAAAGTCTTGGTCATGCACTAGCGAGGACTAGTGCATCAACTTGTCTTGGCATCCACTGGTAATAGTAAATCAAATTATAGAAGATTTCGGTGTCCAACATATAATGATAACTTATTATGTTTCTTGGTAAAAGGTAATTAGTTTATCGGAGAGTTTGGGGCACACCCAGTGGAGTAGTATG